TAAAGCGAATTCGATATTTCCGGCCGGAGGAAAGACATTTGGTTCACTGAACCCAAGAAAAATCCTTGAACTCTCGTCGCCAGACGAAATAAAAATATTTTTGTATACATATGTATTGCCAATAATCTATTTCAAACAAAGACCAGCGCCAATATGAAAAAAAAACTAAGTTAGAACAGTGTCTGCTGCCCTTTTGGCGGCACCCTCACAAAATTATTGACCAACGTTCCATCCATCCCAATCAAAAAAAAATACAGAATATGCACTTGAAAAAATAAAGTTTTGAGAACTATACCAGTTTTTTGTAGAGCTTCTGTGTTTTTTTTTTTAATACAACCACAAAAAACCGATAGAATATATGGACAAACATATATTTTTTAAATTATACACATTATTTTTCCACAGTGCTTTAGAAGACCAAGAAGTTGTACCCTGAGTTGGACTTGTCCGTCTCATCGGATGCGGGATGCTACCCAAATATTTCTGCTAGAAGGGAGAGGACTTCTGTGCGGCGGCTTGTCGATGTCGATGTGGTTTTTGCTACTTTTGCTGACCCTCCACATACACATATTTCATTCTAATCAACATGCTGCAAAACATATAATTCGAATTTTTGATATTTCGTCTGACCATTTTGCTGAGAAAATTGCATTTAAACGCCTATTATGCGCTTTTTATTTGCAACCCATACTTTTCTGGACGAATGCTCGACGTGACTCAGTCATGCAAAAATACGAATCATTTTATAAGCATATACTCTGGGCATGGTTGGTATATTATATGGTTCATATAGTAGTAGTGCGGTTCCACTAGTAACTTTGTCAACTAGTTGGCTTCCTGCTTTTCGGGAGTTAATTAAGTGAAATCGTAAAATCGTTAGCAAATAAAATAAATTGTGTTCAATTACACGAGTGACATCCAAGGCGCAATCGCGATCACTGGTGATTGACCTCTTTCAATGCGAGATCGCGACATTCTTGGGGCTCGGATTCGGCAGGAAAACAACGCAGCTCTTCAAGCAGATAATGAACTTTATATACACTTGCATATTGTATGTCCGTTTAGCCCCGATAGCCCCAGACTCGACCAGGCACCACGCACTTAATCAAAAAGTGCGACAAAATCAAGAGTAAACAAAACTGCAGGGCAGAACTCGAACTCGACTTGAGAACCGGCAGCGGCTCGAACTTCAACTGGGTGCATTGAACACATGATCCGGCCGCAAAACAAAAATTTAAATCTCATATACTCGTATTATGTTTTACTGTATATAGCACTGTAAAAATAGTGACTGAGATTACAGACAGAAACTTATACTGCACAGTTTTATAAAGAAGGGGAATAATCATCCAATTCTTTTGTAATGTCTAGCTGAAAGAAATCGGAAACTAAAGGATTCTGTTTAAAAGTAATACAAATATTGGTATCAGATACCAGAGCTATCAGAGCCGTTCAATCGTGCTTTAATAATAACTATTAGCCATTTGTTCAGTTCACTGTATTATGCCAATAATTTTTTCTACCATTGGTCAACATTTTGATTGATATATCTTGACAAATCGATTATATTAAATGCTTATTATGCAGATGGTATAAAAATGTAAAAATGTTAAAAATGTATGAAAAAAGTAGGCTTTGGAAAACCAAACCATATCTATCAAACTGAGCTAGTCCTTTCGGTTTCATATTCATTTCATTCTCTTCCCACATTTCGGCCTAAAAACATCTAAATTTGTTGTTCAGTTTCAAATTATTTTTGTTCGGTTTTCTGTGAGTGAAAAAAAAATATTTTAAAATTTCGAAAAAAAATATTAATTAATTTGGACCTTTTTTTTTCATAGAACGGATCAATCATGTGTTGCGGACCTTGTGGACCTTGCTGTGGACCTTGTGGTCCTTGCTGTGGACCCTGCGGGCCTTGTGGTCCTTGCTGCGGACCCTGTGGGCCTTGCGGACCTTGCTGTGGACCTTGTGGACCTTGTTGCGGACCCTGCGGACCTTGTTGCGGGCCCTGCGGACCTTGTGGCCCTTGCGGCCCTTGCTGCCGACCTTGTTAGAATGTTAGCTTCGACAAGAACATGACCTGGGAGATGGCTTCAAATATAAAAATGGAGGAAGTCCTGTGACTACATAAAAAACACATCCTATATTGCCATCTGAATCCATAATGTCACCCGAAACCGTACAAAATGATTTGAAACAAATCAGCAATAAAAAAAAAAAATATTTAATTGGTTTTTTTATTTTGAGAAAAATTTTAAGGCTAACACTATTTTGAAGACATGCTGTGAGAAGCTGTCATCTTTTAATCTAATATAAATTTCAAGGATCGGTTTTGATCAACAGCGAGCGGCCCAAAACAATGGCGGAGTACCTTAAATGATTTCTAGATCTATTCTAGAAAATATTTTTTTAGATATTTTCGGATGGGTTCCCTTGAAAATGGTGTTTTTCCTTATAGGGTCCACAGTGATGGCTATATCTGCCCCAATTCTCATCCGATTCTCAAGCGGAGTATCTTAAACGATTTCTAGATTGATTCGCCACCATTCTGCATCAAAATCCTGAGAAAAAATATTTTTTTTTTATATTTCGTCCATTTTTTGTGATGGGATCCATTGAAATTGGGATTTTCCCCTATAAGGTCTACTGTGATGGCTATATCTTCCACAACTCGCATCCGATTCTCAAGCGGAGTACCAAACGATTTCTAGATCGACTCGCCACCATTCTGCATCAAAATCCTATGACAAAATATTTTTTGGATTTTTTGTCCATTTTTTGTGATGGGTTCCCTTGAAAATGGGGTTTGCCACCGTATGGTCAACCGTGATGTGAATCTTCCCCAATTCTCTTCGTGTGAAAACAGACAGACGGACATGCTTATATTAACTCTAAAGGTGATCCTGATCAAGAATATATATACTTTATAGGGTCGGAGACGTAACCTTCTTCAACGCAGTGACAAAACGCAACGCATTTTTGACAAAATTATAATATCCTCTGCAAGGGTATAAAAACGTATTACCCTAAACTCGATTATATTTTATGTATATTAGGCGGAGAGTAAAAAACAAATTTTTGAAAGCAAGTAGGCTGTGGAAAACCCAATCTTTTCTCTCAAACCGAGCTATTCCATTCGGTCTCCTATTCATTTCATTCTATTCCCACATTTCGGCCTACAAACATCTAAATTTGTTGTTCTGTTTTAAATTGTTTTTGTTCGGTTTTCTGTGAGTGAAAAAAATATTTAAATATTTCAAAAAAAAACTAATTTATTTGGTATATTTTTTTTTCTAGAACGGATCAATCATGTGTTGCGGACCTTGTGGACCTTGCTGTGGACCCTGCGGGCCTTGTGGTCCTTGCTGCGGACCTTGTGGTCCTTGCTGCGGACCCTGTGGACCTTGCGGCCCTTGCTGCGGACCTTGTGGACCTTGTTGCGGACCTTGCGGACCTTGTTGCGGACCTTGTGGGCCTTGCGGCCCCTGCTGCCGACCTTGTTAGAATGTTAGCTTCAACAAGAACATGACTTGGGAGATGGCTTCAAATACATAACAGAGAAGGTCCTGTGACTACATAAAAAAAACATCCTATATTATCATCTGAATCCATAATGTCACCTGAAACCATACAAAATAGTTTAAAGCAAATCAGCAATAAAAAACAAAGAATATTTAATTGGTTTTGTTATTTTGAGTTATGTCTTAAGATTAACACGGTTTTGAAAACATACTAGGAGTAGCTCTCATCTATTAATTTAATATAAATTAAAAACGTAAAAATCATTTTTATACAATCTGTTTTCAATTCATTAGTAATTTGCATAAGCGGAAGAATCGAGTTTACGTGATCTCGAATCTGAGATCGAATTTGTATTTTTCTGTACCATTGTTTAATGTTTTGATTGATATATCTTTAATAACAGATTATATTATATGTATGCTCATTTTGCTGACAGTAAAAAAATAAATATTTGAAAACAAGTAGGCTGTGGAAAACTAAATCATGCCTGTCAACCCAAGCTAGTCTTTTCGGTTTCCTATTCATTTCATTCTGTTCCCACATTTCGGCCTAAAAACATCTAAATTTGTTGTTGTTTCAAATTATTTTTTTGTGCGGTTTTCTGTAAGTGAAAAAAATATTTTAAAATTTCAGAAAAAAAAAACTAATTTGGTAAATTTTGTTTAGAACGGATCAATCATGTGTTGCGGACCTTGTGGACCCTGCGGATCTTGTGGCCCTTGCTGCTTACCTTGTGGGCCTTGCGGACCTTGCGGCCCTTGCTGCGGACCTTGTGGACCTTGTTGCGGACCCTGTTTTGGACCTAACACCTGCGGTCCTTGCTTTGCGTGCGGACCCTGTGGAGGCTGCTTCCCTTGTTAGGATGTTAGCTTGAATCGGACTAACATGACTTCGGAGATGGCTTCAAGTAAAAAATAGAGAAGGTCCTGCGACTACATAAGAAAGGCATCCTATAATGCTATCTGTGGATCCATCATGCCACCATAAGCCGTACAAAATAATTTGAAACAAATCAGCAATAAAAAAAAAAAGAATATTTAATTGGTTTTTTATTTTGAGTTATATCTTAAGATTACCACTCTTTTGAAGACATGTTGGAAGTAGCCCTCATCTTACTTATATTATTTTTCACTGTAAAAAACACTAAAAATAGTGTCTGCGTTTTTAGACAGATATTTGCACTTCATAGTTTTATAAGAAAAGTCCAAATTTTTTGTGTTGTCTTGCAGAAGGAAATTGGAAACCGAAGGCTTCTGTTTAAAAGTAATATAAATATTGACATCAGATATCAGAGCTATAAAAATCTGTTCAATTGCACATTAATAATAACTAATAGTTTTTTCCCAATCCACAGTATAAAGGCAATTTTCTGTACCATTGGTCAACGTTTTGATTGATATATCTTGAATAATCGATTATATTATATGTATGCTTATTATGCGGAAAGTAAAAAATACATTTTTGAAAAAAAGTAGGCTGTGGAAAACCAAATGAAATCTATCAAACCGAGCTGGTCTTTTCGGTTTCCTATTCATTTCATTCTGTCCCCACAATTCGGCCTACAAACATCTAAATTTGTTGTTCAGTTTCAAATTATTTTTTGTTCGGTTTTTTTGTGAGTGATAAAAATATTTTAACATTTCGAAAAAAAAACTAATTAATTTGGTCTATTTCTTTTTTTTTGCAGAACGGATCAATCATGTGTTGCGGACCTTGTGGACCTTGCTGTGGACCCTGCGGTCCTTGCTGTGGACCCTGCGGACCTTGTGGTCCTTGCTGCGGGCCTTGTGGACCTTGTTGCGGACCCTGCGGCCCTTGTTGCGGACCCTGCGGGCCTTGTTGCGGACCCTGCGGCCCTTGCTGCGGACCTTGCGGCCCTTGGTGCTGACCTGGTTACAATGTTAGCCTTGGAAGATGGCTTCAAATATAAAACAGAGAAGGTCCTGTGACTACATCAGAAATGCATCCTATATGCATCTTAAATGACACCATCTGAATCCATTGTCACCCTAAACCGTTCAAAACAGTTTGAAGCAAATCAACAATAAAAAAAAAAAGAATATTTAATTGGTTTTTATACCCTTGCAGAGGGTATTATAATTTTGGTCAAAAGTGTGCAACGCAGTGAAGGAGACATCTCCGACCCTATAAAGTATATATATTCTTGATCAGGATCACTTCCTGAGTTGATATGAGCATGTCCGTCTGTCCGTCTGTCCGTCTGTCCGTCTGTCTGTCCGTCTGTCTGTCCGTCTGTCTGTCCGTCTGTCTGTTTCTACGCAAACTAGTCTCTCAGTTTTAAAGCTATCGACTTGAAACTTTGCACACACCCTTCTTTCCTTTGCACGCAGTATATAAGTCGGAACGACCGGGATCGGCCGACTATATCCTATAGCTGCCATATAACTGATTGATCGGAAATGCTATAACTTTGGTGTTTTTAGAGTTAGAGAGTTCAAATTTTACATGAGCGCTATTTTTGGCAAAATAATACGACATGCCAAATTTCGTAAGGATCGGCCGACTATATCCTATAGCTGCCATATAACTGAACGATCGGAAATGACCTAACTTTCGTGTTTTTGAAGATAGAAAGCTGGAACTTAGTACTGATTATATTTTTGGTCAGATCATCCGACCTACCAAATTTTACAACGATCGGCCGACTATATCTTATAGCTGCCATATAACTGAACGATCGGAAATGGGTTTTGGTAGAAATACCAACTTTCGTATTTTTGAAGATAGAAGTTTGGGACTTTTTTTAGATTTTTTATTTTAGTTAATTAGTTTTATTATGATGTAATCATAGGGATCGGCCAACTATATCCGATGTTTGCGATATATATCCGGTTTTAACTGCAAGGGTATATAAACTTCGGCTCCGCCCGAAGTTAGCTTTCCTTTCTTGTTTTATTTTGAAATACATTTTAAGATTAACACTGTTTTGAAGACATATTGGGAGTAGCTCTCAAATTTTAATGTAATATAAATTAACAAGAAAGGAATGCTAACTTCGGGCGCGGCCGAAATTGAAAAATTGGCCGAAGTATTAAAAATTGGATACAGTTGGCCGAATATTGAATTGGTTTTTTTTTTTATTTTGAGTTATATCTTAAGATTAACACGGATTTGATGACATGTTAAGAGTAGCTCTCATGTAATATACATACTGTATATGTACATCACTTTTATTCGTTCTGTTTTCAATTCATTAGGAATTGGTCCAAGCAGAAGTTCTACTGAATTTTGAATAGAAACATTTGTCAAAGTTAGGATTGATATATCTTGAAATGCAAGACTTGAATAGTCGATTATGTTATAAATTGATTATGCAGACAGTAAAAAATACATTTTTGAAAACAAGTAGGCTGTGGAAAACCAAATCAAATCTATCAAACCGAGCTAGTCCTTTCGGTTTCGTATTCATTTCATTCTCTTCCCACATTTCGGCCTAAAAACATCTAAATTTGTTGTTCAGTTTCAAATTAGTTTTTGTTCGGTTTTTTGTGAGTGAAAAAATAATATTTTAACATTTGAAAAAAAAAACATATTTGGTCTATTTTCTTTAGAACGGATCAATCATGTGTTGCGGACCTTGTGGACCCTGCGGATCTTGTGGCCCTTGCTGCTTACCTTGTGGGCCTTGCGGACCTTGCGGCCCTTGCTGCGGACCTTGTGGACCTTGTTGCGGACCCTGTTTTGGACCTAACACCTGCGGTCCTTGCTTTGCGTGCGGACCCTGTGGAGGCTGCTTTCCTTGTTAGGATGTTAGCTTGACTTGGGCTAACATGACTTGGGAGATGGCTTCAAGTAAAAATAGAGAAGGTCCTGCGACTACATTAAAAGGGCATCCTATCTGTGGATCCATCATGTCACCATAAACCATACAAAATAGTTTGAAGCAAATCAGCAATAAAAAAAAAAGTGTATTTGATTGGTTTTTTTAATTCTTGTTGGGAATAGCTCTTAATTTTGATGTAATATAAATTAGAAACGTATGTGTACACCACTTCTGTATGATCTGTTATCAATTCATTGGGCATTTGCATAAGCAAAACAATCAAGTTTGCCTGAATTTAGAATCGAAACAGATATATCCAAAGCGACCCGAATAAGAATCGATCGTCGTTTTCTAATGTGATGTGGTTGACCTTGACGATCCGCAGAGAGTTTATTGTCCTTTCAATAGAACACGCTAAATAAAGCTTATTTTAGCAGCCATGTACATACATGTTTAGCTCACACACTACCGGGCATATTCTTATACAATATAATTTTTATTTTTATTTTGTTTTTTGTTTGTTTATTTACTGCACTAACTTTGCGTCGAACTAGTTTCCAGACAGCAGATTCCGATTCCGATTCCTGAATTCCGAGCAATATTAAACAACAGCAGAGCGAAAAAAGTCAACAAAGTGCATATAAAAAATGTATTTAAATTTATCCGACTGCCGGGCTCCAGCCACCTGTCCCCTATCCCCACCAGTCCGAACCCATCGTCAGCTGACTTGATCTACGCGCGCGCCTTTTTAATTGCATCTGCGTGGGTCTCCTCCTGACCCTCCTCCTGCTCCTGCTCCACCGAGCTGGGCTGCCTGTATTTGTGCGATTTTATGCAAATTAAACAAGTTCGCTGCCAAAATATAGCCGTCTGAGCTGATTTGTTGTTGCTCCGGCCGGTGCTGCTGTATTTGCTTTTAATTATTTATTTGCATTTATGTGTTCGGTTTGTGTTAATTTTTAGTCAGTGTAAGTAGTTTGGTCAGTTGCTTCGTTTTGTCTGCCCAAACTGAGCCAAAATTAAAAGAACAGCAACAACTTTAAAACTAAATATAAACACAAGCCCCAACCAAACATGTTTCATATTTTTTGGGCGTTTGTTGCTTTTGGGGATTTTTCTCTATGGTTGCGTGTATGTGGCCACTATTATTGATTAGCTAAATTGTTGATAATTGGTTTGACTTTGAACTTGATTTAGAGCTTGTTTGAGGCCGAAACGGCCAATGTGTCAATAGTTGTCTGTTTGAGCCTGGTGCAAAGAACGAAGACCCCTATCAGTTGTCAGGCATGGAATTCTATCGTTTTGAGAACTTTACCCAGCCCCAGACGAATAATATTTAGATTCCCCGGGTTCTGTTGTAGACGTCGCCGGGGTCATTTTACTGCTGCCTTTGAAATTCTATCATGTTTTCCAAACTATACAGCTAAACAATCCCACAGAAGCATTTTACGTTCTGCCATAAATATACTTTGTACTAAAATATAATATTAATCATATAGAAAATAAAAAATATATTTATTAGCTGATTCTATATCATCTTTTCTAAAGCCTTTTACACAAGTTCTATTTATACTCATTTTATTGGCTTAATCTTTAGTGCTTGTTATTCAATTTTGAGCCTATATGGTTTTTTTTTGGTGGGTAACTGGCACTGAGTATCCCCCATTCATGCCCTAATTGTAGCCCATTTCATGATCATGACTAAGGTCATTTTCATAAAAAACCGCATAAACTAGACCCAATTTAGTTGACAAACACACAAAAAACACACACGATAAAAATTTTGCGCAAAGAAATTAAAAGCGAAATGAAATTGTTTGTGCAAAAGCCGCCGATTCATTGGAGACGGGATGCCAGCTTCGAGGGTGCCACATTTGCATAGACATTTGCACGTCGAGGTTTGTGGTTTTGGGTGTCCAGAGGCGTATCGAGTGGATAGTGGAGGCCCCCTACACTACGAGAAATATCCCAAAAAATTCAAACATTATCTTGGCTGACATTGCGTATACGTAATATGCATCTACAAGTCATATTACAAAGCTGTCTTACTACCATTTCGTAGGAATAACTTTTTTTTTTTAACAGTGTAGTGTATAGCAAACGAGGCGCTTCCATTTTCAAGGGTTTGCCTTGTCTGGCAGCTCGGATTAGCCGCTTCCACATTGAACTTGAGCTCTCCCTATCTCTCCGGGCGTCGGTGCATAATCCAAGACAATCCAATCAGGTTCTGGGCGATTGTTGTTGCCGGATCTGGTGCACTTGCGCATAAATCATGCGCGTCCGATGATATCACGTGTTATAATTAGACCGATGCATTTTCACTTTCCACCAGGCGAAAACCGAAACGTCCGAATCCGCATCCGTATCCGCATCTGCATCGACATTGGCATCTAATACTCGCCAACTGCCAGGCAGGTTGACAGCTAAAAATCGTGATATTTGATGGTTGTATCTGCGATTTGACCAGGAACGGAACCCCATTGAGCCATCAATGGATCGTAGTGACCGTAAAGTGTCGTTCATTATGACCTCCTAGTGCTGTTGTTCGATGTTGTTATTGGCATGGTTCTTGGCTACAATGTAATCGCTGGCGGCTCTTTAAAATATGCAGCGGCGATACTGTCAATATCCACTCCACTCCACTACATCCAGCACTCGGATGGAATCCACTTGGCACTCCAATAGCACCAGAGCACCACCACCACAACGACAACCACGCAGCAGGTTGACCATGAGAACATGTTATTAAATTACTATAATAATGTATTAAGTATGTAAGAATGCTACAAATGTTAATATGTAATAATAATTGTAATGGCCAGCAGCTATATGCCAATAAGTCAGAGAGACCGATCTACTCGACTTTGGTCAACAGTCAACAGTTAAAAGTCTATCTCGTCCCCCTCGACACCTCAAGTATATCTACGCACTCCCATATCGCCGAGTTGCGATTCTCGTCAACCGATTCCTCATGTCCAGCGCCCATTTGACATTTTCATTTCCAATTCCATGAAAGTGCTAATAATGCACTTATGTATATGTACTGCCTGGGGTCGATTTCGATATATCGGTGATATATATACAATTTATGGTGCCTTCATTTGCGTCAGCCGACGGGGCTTGGTTGGATTTTTGAAGAGCTGGGAAGCGAGAGGCTCGAGGTGTTTTTTTTTGGCATGATTATAAAAATATAATGCGGCTAATCCAGATATTTCAAAAAGTGTGCCGAACAAGTAACATTTAAGCTTATCAGATTTTTAATTAAAAATTCGTATATATTATA